TTTTTGGACAGGATTTCCTGCCTCCTATGTGAAACATTTTATTCAATTTATAAGACATACTTAGGTCTTCTACCTATAATAGAGACGTCAGATCATAGCTATAGAACACACTCTCCCGTGTACCCTCAATATGGATAGACCTTCTGCTTTGCTTTCAATATGTACTACATATAATATATAGTATGTGCCAGGAAATTGTGTTTAAATTGGTCTATCCACAGAAAGTTCTAGGAAAGGGCTGTTGCCATTTAATATATGCTTATTGGCATTTATTTACATGTTTTATTGATCATATTTTGCTCAACACAAACAACCTTCTTTGGATCATTGGTTTCTTTGTTACATCTGTGTATAAAAGTACACTCAAACTTATATAAGTTTGTCTATATCATTAGACTGCAGTCTGCCCAATTATTTCAGGTCCTCAGAATCCATGTCCAAAAGAAAAGTTCTGCACGTGCCATTTTGAAAGTCAACAATATATAAACATATATGAAGATTATTCATCAATAAAGAAAAATGAAATGATAGAATTTGCATTAAAATGAAGTTGGAAAATACTTTAGAGAGTTATCCCAGCCTCAGAGACAAACACATGCAAATCTTTAACTTGTGAATTTTATCTGTATGTGATATGAACTACAAGTGTGTGTAGATGTCAGGAAGTTAGACAGCTGCCCACAAGAGGGAAAGGCAGCATTAGGAGGATGTGTGGAAGGGAAGAAAGCACATGACCTGGAAGTGGAAGGGGGATTCTGGGAGAAAAGTGGTTTCCTTAAGAAAAGGAAATAAGGAGATGGCAGAGGGGATTAACACGGGGAAGGGTCAACCAAAAGTAAATATGTATGAAATTGTTCTAGAGAAAGCAGCTAGTTGATAAACATGTTTTTCAAAATTAGAAAACAAATACTCTTTTAATTGAAAGATTTTAAAAAGCAAGCAAGTCAGAGGGCTGTAGAGGTGACGGTGGTCTTTATGTCATGGCATATGGAGATTCTCATAGTCATGTGCATTTAGTCCATCTCACCCAGATTGGCACATAAAGTGTGTGTACATTGTTGTACAAACTTCAATGTGAGAGAAGAGTGGAAAATATTCCATCTAAACCAATTGTGTGCCTTTCTCTTTAGGACTGGCCATTTTCCAAATGTCAATTACTTTCCTAATCAATCAAACCCTCTCTACTCTTGCTCTTATTTCCCATTTAACATAGAAAAGAAACAGAGTTTCAACAGACTGTGGTATGTGCTCTATCTAAGACCTTCCTGGGTCCCAGTGGGGTTAGGTGCCTGGAGGTGCCTGGAGAACACTGTGTGCTCACTGCACACAGTTAGACAGCTGAGTCACTGGGCTGCGAGTCTCTGATGTACAGGGATATATGCAGGCTGGCTTTATTGAGGTGAATTGTAAATCTTCCTTCTTCCTTTTCACCATTGAAGATGATGGTCATCAGAGCCTTGGGGCTTTTCCCAGGATATTGTCTGTACCACCAGAAGTAATCATTATTATGATCGCTGAAAGTGCTCGTGAGAGAGGCCATGGCACCCTCAGGACACTGAAGGATTCTGAGTTCTGCTGCACCTTTTGCTGACTGCTCACGCCTGTGCAGAAAGACAGAGGTCAGACACACAGGACTGGATGCATATGGATGCTAACAGCCCAGAAGCGCTTTTCCATGGGCCTCCCAGCTGCTTTTGTTGCAGCATGAGAACATTGGTATTTCTCCCCTTCATCCGATAACATGTGAATGCAACACCCTCACTTAATGTATTTTCATGTTCCCATAGAAATGGTCAAACTCACCCCTCACTTGAAGCCAGAGCACCACTATCAAAACACTTAAGGGATGCATTATTGTTTTCACTGAATATTCTCAATTCAATCATAACAAAAGGACTGGAATTAGGGAGTTCAAATTCTTCTGCTGTAAACTGGATAAATGTGAAAAAGCCCAAACTATTTATCCAATTAAAAAGAAGGTCCTAGTTTTCACTGCCACATTCAAAGCCCTCCTCCTTCTCTCACTAACCACCCCCAGACACAGATGCAAAAGACCATGGGAGAAGCAGGCATCTGGATCTCTATGAAGATACTACCATCGCGTGGATTCACATTAGTTCCAAAGAAATAACTTAATCAAAGACTCTTCTTAGGTAAACTATTAAAACAAGCAACAGTATAGTCAGATAAAAGTTTAAGGATTTGTTCACATTTATGTATGAGTATGTTTATGCAAACATTTTTCAGAAAATGGCAACTTATTTTCAGCAAATAAAAGTTATTTCACTAGTCACTTTTCTGTAACAATCAAATAATGGTTTATGTTCTTTATCTATTTTCTGTGTCAGCTCATACAGCCCTCCACTGTTCCTTCATCATCAATATTAAGTTTTCTGTAATTAAAAAGATCTGTTTAAAATAAAATAGCTTTAAATGTGTCTTAACAAACATGGCTCTAGCTCACAGCCTAGCTATGTTTTATTCATGTATCTGTCTATTTATTCATTCATTTCTTTTTGTACATGTTATGCTGTGTTTGTGTTGGTGTTTGTGTGCAGGGGTATGTGAACTCCTCAGTGTTTACATGTGTACTTGTGGATAGGTTAGAGGTCAACATCAGTTGTTTTCTTTGATTACTCTTCACCTTGTTTTATTATTTAAGGCACTTTAAAAACAACCCTGATCCCCCAATTAGAAAACAACTGTCCTGAATGTCCCTGCTGCATAAAAAAACGCTACTACTTCTTCCCATGCCCACCCTCTCTCGTACACAGACAGAAACACAGCCGCTGGGTCTCTCTGAACCTAGAGCTCAGCATTATAGTCTGGCTTATCATTGGACTCCACGGTCTGCACTGGTCAGGTCCTCAACAGTGCTAGGGCTATACAAGTGGGTACAGTTCTGGATAGTATTGTGTTCTGGGTATCCAGACACAGTTCTTCATGCTGGTGATTGAGCCATCTCTCCAGGCACTTTTTTATTACTTGTACTAACTATAAAAAATACTGTGCTTATTGTAACATTTTAATACACAATTCACTTCCCATTTCCATCTTTTTCAATCATTTGTGGACAGCTGAGATAATTCCATATTTGGTTAATGTGAACTGTACCAAAACAGCATGATGTACACATATCCTTATTGTGAATTGAGTTTGATTCCTTAAGATGCACAGCTAGGTGTGGTAAGGCTGGGTTATGTGGGTTATGTGGAATTTGTATTTTTAGGGGATTATCAGCAATGAAACTCTATACTGATTTATGTAATGGTTTCACAAATTTATATTCTGATCAACTACCTCCAAGAGTTCACTTCTCACCATGTCTACAAACATCACTGCCTTTTGTTTTCTTTATGATAGCCATTATTTTGGGGCTAAGATGGATCCTCAGCATAGATTTTATTCGATCAGCTCTTTCTTCAGCAAGGTGATAATAAAAGTGCTTGCAATTCTCCATACACCAGTAACAAACATCCATGGCAGGGAAGCCAGTGATCACCTAGGGAGCATTATGTTCCATTCCTGAGACAAACAGAGAAGACAACATCCTAGAAAGACAAGATAGAGCTGTGGTAAAAGCAAAAGCATAAGCTTTATTCACTGGAATGGGCCGGTACTCAAGGCTAATCAGCTAATTGGTCTTTGGCTATGGAGCTTTATTAGGCTTATGTGTCTCCTCTCCACTGTGAGTCCTGTTCAGGTACCCGACCCCTTGCCTTGCCACCAGTTCAACTCAAGGTGTCTTCTGGGAACAAGAAGTTGACATCTCATGAAGTTTTCTTTTGCATTCCCTTCTGTTTATACTCCTCTAACTCTTTCTCAGCCACACCCCTCAGAGATCAGCCACAACTGTTGCCAAAAATGGGGCCTAAATTGCTCTAGAAACTAAACCCGTCCCTCCCATATCATGCATGAAAGTTCTTTCTTTTGACAACACTTGGCAAAAATTTTGAAGCACTTAGGAAACTCCTGGCCCTGAAATACCTACTGAAGATTTATTCATCAACAAACCAGTGCAACTCACAGTTATGGAGTCTTTCTACATGATTGGTTTCTGTATACTTTGGGCAATGGGCATTTGTGGATGATCTTTCTCAGCGTTTTTGTTGGTGCTGCATACAGAGGCTCCTGATGGTTGTAAGCAGATTTCCTATCCTCCATGTTGTTGAACTCATTGATAATTTGAAGGAAATATCTGGTAGAATATTTGGGATATCTTATATGTACTATAACATCACTTGATAATAATTTGATATATTTTTCCATTTGTATCCCTTTGATATGCATCACCTATAGTGTTGCTCATTATGGCTACTCTCTGGACAAAGAACAGCTAAGGAGAGAAGGGATGGTGGGGGAGTGTGGGATGATGGGCGGGAGAGGGAACTGGGTTTGACATGTGAAGCAAGCTATTTAAAATTAAAGTAATAAAAAAGTTTAAAAAACAAATCCCCTTTCTAAAGAGAAATTCATTTTATAACTTTTGTAAATCTAGACATCCCTGACTAACCTATCAGGCTTGTAGGGAGAGTCTAGAGTAGTGAGTGTCTCATAATTGACTCAGCTCACTTACAAATGTCCATTTGCCAACTTTCCTTAAACTTAGACTTCTTCAGTTGCTTTCTCCTCCTCCATTTCCTCACCGAATTTCTTGGCATGCATTTTCTCTCATATTTCTGTGTATGGGTATTAAGGACTATTCTTGGGCAGTGCTTACAAAATTAGGGTTCAACTCTGCATGGCTGAAGTACTGAAAACACTCTGAAAAAGAAAAGAGAAATCTCTAACTTTTGAAGAAAGAGGTGCTGAAAGGCCACCCCTGGGTCACAGGAGAGACTCCTGGAAAGGAAACCCCAGCTGTGGTCTCTTCAGGGAGAATGAATGAGCAAGGAGTGAAAGGCTGTGCCCTGTGACATCAGCAGTCCCATCTGGAAATTCTATTGTGTCCTGGAGATCTCTTGGAATCCCATGATGTCACTTGTGTTGTAGCAACACTGGCTGCCCTTAGGACAGTTGTTCATTGACTGTAAGGTCACTTATAGAAATGTTTTCAAGACTGCGAAGTATATTTGGGAGGAGGAATGGACAACATGGAGAGACCCGAGTGAGGAAGAAGGAAGCAGGCCCTAGGTCTCACTGGAAAACATGGTTCTGGAGAAGACACCGTGAGTTCAAGGAAGGGACTGTGGGCACTCTGTGTGTGACGGCCTTGAGCCTTCCAGGGATAAGGCTCAGGAACTGGGAGCTTCTGGGGAGCAACAGACCTATCCTGCTTCTCTGGTTTCCTAAAGGATTCACCCACATCAAGGATTCATGAAAATTGTTTAGACAGAGTCAGGAATTGACAAGACTCTAGTGTTAGTGCTGGGAATCCTCTGTTTTCATGGTGAGGGGAGAATGAGGCACAGGGGAGTCAATGAGATTTCAATACCTTCGCTGTACTTTGCCTACACTGGAGCCCGATAGGTTGACAGGCAATGATTAAAGGGAAAGAAGTGAGCCTTGGCAAAGGTTGAGCTTGTTATGCTTTACATCACTGCCACTAGCAGGGCTCAGCTACAAAGTGCAGCTGTCTTCCAGTGACCCCTAAGGTTTCCATCTTTCCAGGTATGGTGGCACAAAGGTCTCCAGTTCAGCTGAGAACTATTAGAGCCCATGAACAAGGTAAGAGACTGCCTCTTACTTCAAGCTCTGGGTTTCCTGGGCTAATTGTAAGGATGGGTTCTGAGTCAGGGGACTATGTTCCGCCACTGTGTAGCTTCTCCATTAACATGAGAGTCTGAAGCATCAAGTAATTTATGAGGTCATCCCTATTCTACCTGAGGGAATGTGACCGTAGCAATTAGCTCCAGGCTTCTTAAAGCACATGACTGAAGGCTCTAAACCCAAGGTACATTCTCTGTGGCTGTGAATAAGATTTAGGAGTCTGTCCCCTGGGTCACCTGGTACAGGGATACAGAAGAAAGCAGGTAACTGTTGAGACACTCCATCCCTATTGAAATAACTGGCATACACAGAGGTAAAGACACAATTCCGGTCTTTCAGAACCTGCTAGGGTACAGTGTCATCTATCAGTCACTTCCTGAGCATCCTTCATTGTGTCAGATTGGCCTGAGTTGAGGTAGTGTGTAGGGAAGGTGCTGTCAATTAACTTCTAGAATTGGGTATTACTGAGATACCTAACCTTGTCTAACATGGTTGTCAATGTGATATAATATAGGAATGGATTTATTTTACCCAACATTACTCATTTGCTTTGTGGTTCATCAAGCACATGTTGCAAGCCCTTTCCTGACCTCTGGAGACTTTTCTATCCAGGCAGAGCATGGTGCTAACCCTTCACTTCAGCACTGCCAGGAAATTCAAAAGTGTAAAGTTGGGCTCTGCAAAAGGTCTAGCACAAAGGACTCTCCTTTTGTGCATTTATCCTAACCTCCTCATGCTACAGTGAATATTGTAATTTAAGCTGGCTGTGTCCCAATTCCTGAGGACATGGACATTGTACCAGGTGATTCCTGATCAAGATATTTGTCTTTTGTGAAGCTTAGAATCTCTAGGTAAATAACTATGGCAGTGACACACTCTATATGATCCCCATGACTACGACAAATTCAATGTTCTGAAAATGCCTTTGCATATCTCTCTATGGACTATCAATAGCCAATCACCTTTCCTCAAATTTGAGTGCAGGAATGGACATCAATCTCCATGGGAGTTTTAGCTCTTGTGTTTTGGGCTCACCTGGGAGCCCCAGTGATTAGTGTCTCTAGTATGACCTGTCACAAGTTGGTCACATATTTGATAACTTATGAGAGTTGGAATGTGTTCTGCTTAACTTTGGGGGTAATTGTCATCAATTATGGAATTTATCTTGTTCTCACAGTACAACTACAGTCCCCGCCACAACAATATATTGTACCAGCCATGTGGATTCTCTGCATTGTGCTTGTCATCTTTAGGGGACTGAAATCTCCTGTCCACATTCCCAAATTATTTACCTAGAAATATTTATTTCTCTTGTTATTGATTAGAGATCTCTACAAGGGGCTGAAACATATCATGGGATGTTTTTGGAAGTGAGTCTTCAACTTGCATATGAAGTTGTCAATATATTCTTACGAAGCACAGAGAGAGGCCTCTGGTTTTATAATGAGGACATAGTGAAGGTCTTACATTATGTATCTATGGAAGTTCCTGGGTAGGGCAGTATTACTTCCAGTGAATTGCAGAATCTAGTTATTAGGTAAGTGAGGAGTTCTGGTGACACTATCTGTCCTTTCTCTGGACAATTCTATTTTATTTTGGAGAGCACTTGGTGTTCCCTGTGATATCATCAGTATTCAGGGAACACCAAGTGACTGTGGGATATGCTTAAAGTGTCCTTAGACATGTTTGCAAGCCTTAGCGGAGATAATTGAGAACATGGGAAGTCCAGAGAGGCAGAAGGAAGTTGACCTTTGGTCTCAGTGTAAAACATGAAGAAATAAATGGTTCTGGGAAAAGTATAGTGAGTCCTGGTCAGGAGATGGGTAGCTTCCTGGAGCAGGTGGAGCTTGAGCTAGGCCTTACAGTTGTGGGGCTTAGCATCTTGGAAGGAATGGGCTTAACCTGCTTTTATCTGGTTTTCCTCAGAGCAGGCCCTCAGTAAATATTTCTGATAGTTATTGTGATAGAGACATGAACTGTCAAACCTGTAGCTGCTTTTCTGGGAGATCCCCACTCTACTTTTGAGTGAGAAAGAAGGCCAGCAGAAGAAAAGGGGCGACTAATAAGCCATCTCTCTCAGGCTGTGGTGATCATCCTATTGAATTCCTTCAGTTTACATGGGAATTGATGCTAATAAAAAGGGAGGGAAACTCCCCTGGCCATGCACCAATACCTCAGGTGAGTTTGTTCTGTACAAATTGATGAGACCTTGATGCTGCTAGCTCTAGGGACAACAGCACTTACCTGCATCATATTAGAAAAGAGATGACACTCTCTTCAAATCTACACAGCTGGACTAGCTTTTTGTCTTCCAGGAACAGGGGACTAAGTCTCTGAATGAGGCACATGACTAGTCATGGTGTTTGAAGTGAGAGACTTACCTCATGGACACCAGTGTGAGCATAGCTGCCCTGTCCTCTTTGGAGTTCACTGGGTCCCTAGCATTTACTCTTCTTTGGGCTTCTTCTTGGTACTCAGCATAGACACTCCTGGCCCTATGCCATTCAAGTATTCCAGTTCACTTGTATTTATCTGCCTGCAGGGACTACTGAGGAGGCACCATCCCAACTCTCTACTTTCACAAAGCAGGACAAGCAGATGGAGAAGCTGGAGGAACTTACCATTAAGCTACAGAGTATAAAAAATGAGCAAATTGAGCTGAGTGCAATCCTGGAAAGCTATACCAAGATAGATTTTTATAACAGGTAGTCATTACTCTCAGTTCTCTGACCCCACAGTGTCAAGTCAAGATTTCCTGAGTTCAAGAGGCTAACGATTCAGGGTGGCCTGGTGCATAAACTAATTTTCCTGTGCACATGAGAGGCAGAACTTGGAACCTGGGTAGTCACAAGATGTGGGCACAGGATCCTCTGGTTCCTCCAAATGAAAAGCAGAACCTGTGACTTGAATCCAGTCTGGGGATCAGGACAGCAATGTTGACATTCATTGAAAGAGGCCTTGACTGGTGCTGGCTTGAGGGACACACTAGGTGAGCCTTTCTGCTTGACCAGAAGGCGATTGAGTGCTAAAAGCTCCTGGCAGCACCAGGATGGGGCTGGTAACATTCATAAATCTCAGTTTGTGGCTGGAAGGCCTGAAGCTCATCACTGCTACACTCTGGTTTCTTCTTTATATTATAAGAAAGTGACACCACCCTGCATTTCATGGACATCCTGATTGTATGTGGGAGCAGAGTAGAAGGCCTGTGCGTGTGTGTGTGTGTGTGTGTGTGTGTGTGTGTACGTTTGTATGTGTGTGTGTAAGTGTGTGTTTTCTGCATGATCTAAGGTTTTGCCATTCTCACAGTTTCCATGGAATGCATGTGTTGTGGCCACTTTGATCCGCATATCTCTTGGCCACTGTGCTCACATTGGTGGAACATTGCAATCCCCTGTAGAGTTTATAAAACTACCCTGAATTTGGGACTCCTTCCTGGAAATACTGATAGTGTGCTCTGTTCCTCTGTGTAGCAATAGGCACACAGGAATGAGAATCCCTCTTCTAAAGACAGGAGAAATGTCATCAGATGTTTCTGTTGAGCAAAGATATGTGGTAGAGATTCCAGGGAACATCGTAGAGAGATAATCTATAGAACAAGCACACAAAGGGTGCCCATATGCGCCTTCTAACTCCCTTCAGACACCATGCCTCTTCTAGCCTGGGGAGAGGACAGAAAATATATTAAGCACTAGGAGGCCCCAGTGAATCAGTGCCAGTCTGTGGAGTCCACAAGGCTGAGGTAGTCCAGGACAGCCTGATTTCATATGATCCATGAGGTTCATGGGATTCTTTTCTCCTGGGGCCATGCCCTATCCCAGGCTGAAATCTTTTGAGATGATGAAAAAGGTGCATAAGCAGGTAATGTGTGACCTTCAGAGATTTCCCTTGGAGATCAGTGATAACTTGAACAAGTGCAAGCAGCTGATTGAGGAGAACAACAAATGCTACAGGTAAGAGCCAGATTAAGTTTATGAATGGCTGATTCTGCTCTCTCTGTCTTTGACTCAAAGTGGAGGCTCTGGTTCTAGCCTGTCTGCCTCATAGCATCTGTCGCCTTGTTGCCCTTGGACCTGTACCTCTTGGACTGTTTTTACTAAGTGTGAAAAGACAATGAGTCCCTCCCAGAAATGTCCTACATAGGAGCCTCTACATAAAATATGTTTTACACCATGAAGGGGGTGTCAGGATGCCCAGGGACTCTCAGGCTCTGACAGGGGATTCACAGTGTTGATACCATGTAACCGACAGACAGAATTTATTCTGGTTGGGATTTTTGCCCTCCCCAAGAGAGAATTAGCCCTCTATCTGGTATGCTTTCCGAATACTATGAACAGGTAAACAAAGATGTGGGCTTCATGCTGTTCTCAGGGATGCAGTAAAGCTCTTGGTGCCAGGGTTTTCAGAAGTACTTTAAATTTTCTGGAATTTGGTTGTTTTCTTGATTTGACCTTCTCCCAAGTGATGCTGGCTTTACTACTGTCAGTTTTATCTCGGAACCTGGGACTTTTAAGGGGTGGTGATACTTGGAGTTTGGGATGGCAAATGGAGCCTATTTGGGACTTACCATTTTTTGGATGTTGGTTCAGTTTCCTCCACAGAATTGGCCTACCAGATTTGACTCAGTTGAAAAACAATGTCAATGCGTTGAAACAGGAGAATGAAAAGCTGTCGGAGGAGCAGATTGCACTGCAAGAGACCTGTGAGGAGGTGAAGAAGCTCCTTAAGGAGGTGCAGGAGAAGATCTGTGACCCCTGTGCTGAGCAGCATCAGGTAGGCTGAGTCAGTGGGGCACACAGCACATCTGTCCAACCATAAAAGAGTCTCTCATGAATCAATGCACCTACTCATTTTGACATCTACCAAATACCATGCAATTGTTCATTTCTGTGATCATTCACAAGTCTCTCTGGAGAGATATACTCTTGCAAGAAATTGATTGGCAAGGAAATTCTCCTGCTCTGATGGAACTCTTAGTACAGTCAGTCACATATCACTTGTCATTGTATAAGCAGGGTCTCTATGCAGGGAGCTAGGTAGGGAAAAACCCTGGGACTTCATGGATGAGGTCAGGGCCTGTGCCTCATTTGCTTTGCAGTTGTTACCTAAGATCACAGGTAGGAAGCAGTTTGGAAGAACTGGATCCTAGTGTTAATGTCAAATGAATGGTTCTCACTGTCTACTTTGGGGTGTGATCTACTTCTTTTTCCTACATCCAAATGTGTTCTCTTCCCTTTGATCAACCCTTGGTTCACACTGACAAATGTCAGAGTACCATCTTTTCCACCCTGTTTTCTGTGGGTGGTGCTGGATATTTCTCACTTCCTGGAGCTTCCAGTCTGGAGCTAACTGGATGACCATAAAGGTGGGAAAATTTGACTGGCTGAATGTTGGGGTGACAGATTTGAGGCTTCAAGAGAACACTGTCTCCAATCATTTCACAATAGTTTGCCGAAGCTATGTGCTCCCCCGGGAATTACTGCTCCCCTAGGGATGGATGGCAGTGCTGTGGGTCTCACTGAAACACCTGATGTGCATAGGCTAAATTCAGTTGTTCATTAAGCATGATGACCTCCTCATTTCTTTCTGCTCCATTATTGTTTATGTAGTCTTGGTGTGATGTTTGCATGCATGTGTAGATGCGTGCAATGTGTGTGTGTGTTTTTCCAGGCCAGATAATGACCTATGATGCTGTGCTCCTCTTTCCCTTATTCCCTTGAGCCCAGGTCTCTCAGGGAACCTGAAATCTGCTATTTTGGTTAATCTGGCTTTACAGTAATCTTTGGATCTCTTGTGACCTACAAGTTGGATCATCTCTCTTGTTTTCTGTCCTCTAACTGCTCTAAGTTTCAACAGAAAAGATAGAGGAAAGATGTAGTACCTGTGTCTTCATTTTACTCATATTTATTGTTTTGTAATTAATGTATTTTATAATAGACAATAACAAAAATCAAACAATACAGCAATTAAAAAAGGAATAGACTTATGTTCTTTCACTGCACAGACCTAACAGCACAGGAAGTGTCCGGTTTGATCTCATTGGCTTCACAACACGGAATCTCATAGTGCATAGTGGTACTGACTGTGTCATGATTGTGGTTGTGTCTTAAAACAGATTCCCTCTCATGATTGTGCAAAGTGCCGCATTCCAGAAAAGTACTGCAGGTGACATGCAATTGTTTGTCTCTGATTTAGTCAACCTCACACAAATCCCTGACACAATCACCTGTTGTGGGATTCCTGCCTGGGTTCTGTTATCCACTTCT